AATATGCCAACTGACTGGCCTCCAATGAATGGTCATTATATTTGCAAACTTGAACGTTCCCAGCCTGTGTTTTGCTCTTCCCACATAACCTGCCACTGTCCTTACAAAATGCCATAAACAGCTGTGAACAGTCCAGAGTCTCCTTGTGTGCCTGTGAGCTCAGCCGTGTTGGTATATGTGGGTGACAGACTTGAAGTGAACAGAAAATCTACATCACCACGAACTGGCAGTGAGACTGGAGCTTTCAATGGGCCAAGATGTGTTCTTCTTTTATCTTCATATAAGGAGCACAAAGGGCTTCTTCAGGCTCCCAGCATTACCTGCCTAAGAAGAGATCCCTTCTGAGCCTAGTGGAGGGCAGGGTTGAGAGGGCAAGTATAGTGGCTGCCCAGTTGCCTCAGGGTCTGGATGGGGGAGGCAAGAAAAATGACCCCAGTCAAACTATCTAGCAGCCTGAGTCATCCTCCTAGCTCCCTCTGGGCTGGAATAGAGATTTGGGGCAAGGGTCACGGTTCCTCCAAAGAGGCTGCTGCAGTCACTTTGGCTGTGTGAGGAACACTTCCTGCTGGAAGACCCTGGGTTTCTTCTCCACATGTGCCTTCAAATATAGAACACCCATGTGTGACAGGCTCTTGAGAGACATAATGTTATTTACACAGGACAATTACCCTGTGAAAGTAAATCTTTCTTCTCTCCATTGGATGGATGAGCAAAGTGAGCCTCAGGAAGGTCAAGTAACCTATCCAAGGTTACACAGTAACCAGCAGAGTTCTGATTTGCTAATCAGGTCCATCTGATTCAAGAGCTCTAGATCTTTTGAGAAAGAACACAAATCCAACAAAGTATTTATTTTAATTCTAGAGGAAATGTTCAGGCTCACAGAATCACTTGTAGGCAGAAGTCAGATGCTACAAGGGAGGACTGGTAACCCAGAAGACCTAAACACTGTCATTTGGGGACCAGCAGTTGGCATAATGGCTATGTCGCTGGACTCCCATGTAGTCGACTCTGGTTCGCGTCCCGGACCCGGTGGCTTAAAACTCACGCTGGGCGCATGTACGTGTGTGCCCAAGATCCAGAGAGGAGAATGGAGGAGAAGGGATTGCAGTGTGGCCATCCCCCCTGGGGGGTGATTTCTTGCTTTCTGTCTCTCTGTCTCTGTCTGTCTGTCTGTCGAGCGCATGCACCCTGTAGCAAAAACCTCTCAAAAACAAAACAAAACAAAACAAAATTGTCACTTGGAGCCATCACTTAAACTGGTTTCCTCTTTTGAAAAAGGACTTGGCTGCAGCACTCCTGACAGCTGCAGCTGGTGAAGTGTGTTTTCATAGGTTGGTGCCTTGGCCATGGAGGTTATTAAATATTTTGTATGTCACCCCTGATCTCCTGCCTGTTCCCTTTGAATGTGGAGGTCAAATGAGATTCCAGCAAATGCCAAGATCATCCTTTGCCTAGTATAAGGAATATTAAAATTTTTAGGCACCCAGGGCTGGCTTTGTGGACCTGAAACCTATACAGTTGAACTGAGTTTAATATTCTGCTGTCTGGCTTTGCAGTTTTTAATAATTTTTTAGAAAAGTTTATTTATTGGGACCAGCAGATTGTGTAATGGTTACGTCACTGAACTCCCAAGTAGTTGACCACGGTTTGAGTTTCAGACCCGGTGACTTAAAACTCACGCAGGGTGTGTGTGCATGTGTGTCCAAAACCCCAAGAGGAAAATAGAGAAGAGACTGTGGCTTGACCATCCCCCCTGGGATGTGATTTCTTGCTTTCTGTCTCTCTCTCTCTCCGTCTTTCTGGTGAGCATATGTGCTCTATAGTAAAAATCTTTCTTTAAAAAAAAAAAGGCTATTGGGATCAGCAGTTAGCGTAATGGCTATGTCACTGGACTCTCATGTAGTCGACCGCCCGTTCAAGCCCCGACGGCGTAAACTCACGCCTTATGTGTGTACAAGCGTGCCCAAGATTTGGAGAGGAGAATGGAGGAGAAGGGATTGCGGCATGGCCATCTCCCCTGGGGGGGTGATTTCTCACTTTCTATCTCTCTGTCTCTCTCTGTCTTTCTGGCAAGGGCACGTGCCCTATAGCACAAACCTCTCCAAAAAAAAAAAAAAAGGTTATTTAATTCTTCCATGATTGAGACACAGAGATGAGAGAGAGAGAAAGAGAAACAGCACTGCAACAGGGTCTTTTTTTTCCCCCCTAAAAATTACTCAAGCCATTTTTAATTAATCCTTACTGCTTTTCTTTCCTTTTCTTTTTGTGGTTCTTGATTCACATATAATCATTGTTCATCTTTGTGAGGTACAGTACGGATTTTCAAAGCCTGCATACCGCGGGACCAGCAGTTAGCGTGATGGCTATGTCGTTGGACTCCCATGTAGCTGACTGTGGTTCAAGTCCCAGACCCGGTGGCTTAAAACTCATGCTGGGTGCGTGTGCGTGTGTGCACAAGATCCCAAGAGGAGAATGGAGGAGAAGGGATTGTGGTGTGGCCATCCTCCCGTGGGGGTGATTTCTCACTTTCTATCTCTCTGTCTCTCTGTTTGTCTGGTGAGTGCACGTGCCCTATAGCAAAAACTTCTCAAAAAAAAAAAAAGCCTGCATACCGTGTACAATAATCAAATCAAGGATAAAGACATGTTCCTCTTATTTGACAGAGGACATTATACTATGTTGTACACATTCAGTAATAGTTCTACTAGGTTTTGTTCTGTTTGGAAGTATATATTGAATGGTAAACCCAACAGGCATACTCAGGGAGGTCTCCTGGTGCAAAATCTGAACCTTTCCACGTGTGTAAACCTCACAATGTAGTGCTTTATTGTTATACCACTGTCTGGCCCTTTCATTTCTTAATTTTTGAACAAAAAAACCTCATGTTTTTATTTTGCACTGGGTTCCAAGACTTATGTAGCCAGTCTTGCAGGCTAGAAGGCAATGGGTGACATAACTCAGAAAAATACCCTAATACTTCTAATAAACTTCCAGAATACTGAGAATACATGATAAAATAATTTTGTTGTGGCTGAAGTCACTTGAGTGTTGACGCATCTACTGGTTGTTGAAGAGAAAGCACTGTCAACCTAAAAAGGAGGGGTAAGGCACAGTAAGTGAAATGCTAAGTTATTTGAGCCAAGGGATTAGGACAATTCACCTCAATGACAGTTTTTAGTTGCTTAGAATATGTGCACTGAAATGACTGCTAAGGGAGCTAGTTTATATAACAGACTGCTGTGGCTTGGGCTTTCCCTCAAAATTCATGTGTTGAGATTTGGTTGTGATGGAATTAAAGTGAAGACCTAATTTGATTATGGTGTTAAAAGGTGGGGCCCTTGGGGAGATATTAAGATTAAGATCATCACGGTGGGGTCCCTATGGTTGACTCCTGATTGGTTTATAAGGAGAGGGAAGGAAACCAGAACAGAGAAACTCATGGACATAGCTGCTAACAAATAGACTGATAGACAAAGGCACTCTGCTCTTTTATTCTTTCACCCTCATGTTGTCATAATGACCCTGTAGAATGTTCATCAGATGTGACCTTGGACAGTGGACCTCTAAAGCATGAGCTGAATAAACTTGTGTTTTTATAAGTTTCCAAGCTTCAGGTATTTTCTGTTATTAGCAGCAAAACTAAGACACAAAGAGAAGGACAAGAAGGGAGTTTACAAGTTGTTCATCAAGAATATACATTGGTACATTTAAAATAACGCAGGCAACTGGTTATACATTATTCTTTATGTCATGAATTCCAGAACACTGCAATGAAGAAAGAGGGGGGAATCACACTGTAAATCTATAACTGTCTGTGGCATCAGTTTGTTTACTATAAGTTAGAAACACGCCTTTTGAGCTATAACCCTGATGGGTGTGGGCCATAACCAAGGCCTCTCTTGGGCAAAGTGCAATGAACCTCGAATTTCACAGACTATTCTGAACTGCTTTTCTCCCTCAGCATTTTCCCTGAGGACGAGGCTCTGTCCTATACATGGCCAGTGCGGTATATGAACAGCACCAAGCAAAAATGACTGAAAAATGCAGTCATTGTCTTCAGCAAGAACATTTTCCTTGCATTTGCTCTGTGCCCAGTCCTGGGCAGGTTACTAAGGTGAATATAAAGTGCCTCATGTTGCCACCATCTTCAGAGAGCACCCAATTGGATGAGAGAGTGGGACACAGATCTCTCTGGGATATCTTTGGGATTAGCCTCAAATGGGGCACAGATCAGCAGTTCAAAGACAGGATTCAGAAAGGAGATCTTTGGGGACTGGGCTGTCAGGGAAATCTTCAGCTCAAAGTTGGACTCAGAGTCTTAAATGATGCATGTAACGTCATAAGTGGAGGAACAAAACCCTTAGCCCTGGATAAGGATGCATCACACATTCCCTGGGTCCTGCTTTGGAATGAATCAGTGCTGCAGATTGAGTTATCTGGAAGCAAATACTAAGGTAGACGTTGGAGTGTGTATTAGTTTCCTGTGGGTGTTGTAACAAATTACTACAAAGTATATGGCTCAAAACAATAGAAATTTATTCTCTCACAGTTCTGGAGGCCAGAAATCTGAAGTCATTTTCACTGGGTTACAATCAAGGTATTGACAGGGCCTTATGTTGGCAGGGCCTCACTCCCTCCAGAGGTTTTGGAGGAGAATCTGTTTCTTGGCTCTTTGAGCTTCTGGTGGCTGCCAGAATTTCTTGGCCTGTGGCCACATCACCACAATCTCTTCCTCCATTTTCACATCACTCTCTCTTCTGTCTCAAAACACCCTCTGCTTCTATCTTTCTTTTTAAATTTTAAACTTTGCCAGAGGGCACACGTGTTCACTGGAGAGAGATGGGTGGAACAGGAGTAAGAAAGCACCCTCTCCCCCATGGGGCATGGTCATGCCACAATCCATTTTCCATTTCTCCCTCCATTTGAGAGTTTTGAGCATGCACCTACAAGCACCTGACATGTCTTTCAAGCTGCTTGGTCTGAGACTCAAACTGTGGGGTCGGCCATGTGGTATCCAGCTGCCTTAACTACCACACCATGGGCTGGCCCTCTGCCTCTCTCTTATAAGAATACACGTGATGGCATTTGAGCTCCCCTGGATAATTTTCTCTTCTCAAGATTTCTAATAGCTCGGTGAGGAGTTCTGGAATGAGAATTGCCTGCCAGGGTTATTGCTCAGAGGGCTAAAAGGGCCAGGCCTTCATAACTTGCCAGGCCTTGTCACTGGCTATGCATGTGCCCTAGGAAGATTGTGCCCTCAAGTGAAGCAGCTCTGTGTGGCTGAGGCATAGCCCAAAAAGGCTGGCAGCTAAAGCTGCTTGCCATCCACACCCTTGAGCTGGGAAGAGAGCTCTTCCTTAAAAAGAGATCTGGGCAGCTCAGTGCTGTGTCCACTGCACAGAGGACATGAGTGAGGCCCTTTGTCCTCAGGTGTGTTGACGAGAACAACATATTTGCTCTGTCATGAAAGGGTATGAGAACAGAGACTCTGTAACTTCCTGAACCTGAAAAAGTTGCTAGCTGGGGAGCCATGTTAGGCCATTCCTACACATATGTGGGCCCTGTCTAAGCTCTGGGCTGCCTCTGTTAGTTCTGCCTATACTGTGATGTGAACACAGCTGCGTGCACACACAGAGTTTTGTTATAATTTGTACCAAAACCAAATTTCCCAACAACCTCCCAGAGGACATTTTGGTGGTCTTGTTCTTTACTCTCTACTGAATTTCAGTCAAGCAGGGCACAAGATATCCTCCAGATTCAGGAGGGACCTGGGCTTTTATTTCCTGCCCATACTCAGCAGCTCCAGGGATAACAAGATGATTTTAAGGTAATATTCCTGAGTCTCAGATGACTGGTCTGAAGGAGAGGAGGAGCAAGTGCTTGCCCCACCCACACCTGGGCAGGTGAGCAGACATGTGCTTGAAGGATTAGAGGTGGGTTTATTATGGTTTGGGCCCTGATTTGTCCTCTGAAGTTTCTTGTTTGGGAATTTGGTCTTAATGGATGGTGACTGGATATCCTCCAGAAATTCACATTTTGGGATTTGATTGTGTTGTAAAGGTTAGATAAGTGAAAACTGAATCCTTTTCATGGTTTTCCAGGGTGGGGCCTTTGGGTGTGATAATGTCATTAGAGTGGGACCAGAAAAGCAGAGAAAGAGAAAACCAATGGATGCAGACCATGCTTTGCTGAAAGTTCTGCCTTCCACCAGTTATTTCTGTTAACCACAGGATAACTCAAGATAACTGTCTAAGATAATTATCTCAGGGCATGTGCTGACATCATGCAGGGACCATTTCTGGGCTCTTTGGGGATCTCATTCAATATCCCTTATTTCAACAAAGCATTTTGTAGTGGAAAATCACCTAGACTGAAAGATGTAGGTGGGGGCCTGGTTCGTGCATCAGAGGCTTTATGGCAATTCTCTCTCCATGTGGAGCTCTGGAATAACTAGGGGGTTGTGGTGTCTTTCCTGGGCCCTAGTTAGGTGGCTAGCTGGGTGGACATTGCTGCAATCAGGCCAGCAGGGAGAATGAATGGCGACTGTCCAGATGGGAATGGTAGGCAATAGTCACTCTCCAAACAAAAGCAGAAGACAGCCATCTTCTGTATTTTTAGGCAACCAAACCTGCTCTTCCACAAGCCTCATTTGCATTGTCACTGTCAGCTCTTAGAGCAGTTGAAAGGCAAACCCCAAAGGCAACCTAGTACACCACAAAATTGGGCTTTTTTGGGGGTCTATTTTTAAATGTGAAAAAAAGGACCAGAGTTGGGTAGTAGAGGGTGAGATTCAGAGGCTAATATAGAAGGCAAGAGAAGCATGGACTGGTAGGGGGGGGGGTTCTGGAACTATTCTAACAAATCATTCTTCCTTTCTGAGCTTCAGTTTTCCCATCTGTATAGTGAAGCCTGCTAGGCCACGTGTTCTGACCTTAAAGGAGCTGATTTAGAGGTAGTAAAGAGGAGGTAGAATGAGAAGTCCCTGGGGATAGAGGGCTGTCAGCGAAGCTGGACAAAGGTCCAGAAGAACTCCCACTACTATTTAAGGGACTGGGGCAAGAGTATACATGGAGGCCCCCATACCACGTGACTAAATATTTAAAAGGCGTGAAGCAAACTAATGAACTTGAGTAAAATATCTTCTGTTGGTTAACCCTGACAAGCAAGTTTGAATGAAAATTTGCATAGTTTTTAAAGTCTTGAACTGGAGTCATTTAATCCTGTCTTCATGCAGTTTCTTAGAGGACTTGGACTTGTACACTGGCTTCCAGAAGGTCCTCTTCTCTTCTTCTCCCAGCTCCTTCCCATATCATGAGATGCCTCACTTGAATGTGTATGGAGTCCCAGCACCCAGAGAGAAGTAGTGGGGAGCCAGAAGCATGTTGTAGATGGCACTTCCCTGGTCCTGTAGTCTTCTTACCCCATGATGGTGTGGCGGTGCAGCAGGGCACACAGCAAGCAGGAAGGGGAGCCCTCCTGTCCAAGTATAACGTGGTAGAAGCCAGTAGCCCTGTCTTCCCTTCACATCAGCCTCCTGGCATGTGCATGCTTCTGGAATGTACTTTGAAACCACATGGCTGGGGGTAGTGAGCATATGTCCCAAGTCCCCCTCACATTTCTCTCTCTTCTTCTTCTTCTTCTTCTTCTTCTTTTTTTTTTTTTTTTTATAGAGCACACGCATATGCATGAGAGGGAGAAAGAAGACACTCAACAAGGTCTTGTCATTCTGGGATCCCTCTCCCCAGTCCTCCAACTGGTCAGAATCTTGGGCAGCATGCACATGGCTGGTATGTTTTCAGGCCCACCAGAGAATCCAAACCTGTGGTTCTCAGTCTTCTTTCACCTCCACAAGAGTATGGTGCAGAAGAAAGGAAATTGAGGCTCAAAGACATCCAGTGAGTGTCCGCACCCAGGTACTCTGAAGTGTGTCCCTGGGCTCTACCATGCTGTCCTGGCCAGCAGGGCAGTTGCATGGTCTTGTCTAGCTCCCCTCTGGTAGTTGGAGTGTTCCTCAGTCCCTGGAAAATCGATGTGCATTTCTCCTTAAGATTAAAACAAAGCAGTTTTGTGAATCTTGGAATGACCCAACCGTGGAAATGGAAGGCTCAGCATGCTGTCCTCTGAGGCCAGCTCAGCTCCAGCCTCTCAGAATTTATCATTATACTTGCAGTCTGGGTAGCGGTAGGCAAACTTGGGGTCACAGGTTCTCAGAGGCCTCAAGATGTCCTTTAGTCGGCTGCCAGCCCCAAGGACTTCAGAGTCTGGGTGGGTGTCCTCTCCACACTGAGCAAGAGTAGAGTCTATTTCTTCCTGCACCGGGGAGGGAAATTTTCCTTGGAGAAGTCGAGGGAGCAACTGCTGACACACTAGCACCAAACTCTGCTTCTCAGGGATGGAGTCACAGGGGGGCAGCTGAACCTGACAGCCAGAAACCAGGCAGCTAAATATGTCTTTATTCTCTCCTGCCCTGGCGGCTGCTTGGCTGCCTAGAAGAGAAATGGAAAAAAATTACACACCCTCACAACCTGTTCTCTTTGGGGGAGGGCGCCACTAATTAGAATTCATGGGCCAAGTAGTTTAGTCTCCTAGCATTTCCCTGTCACCAGCCAATTTAAGACTCAGAGACACAATGGTCCCTTCTGAGAACAACATGGGAGGAACTCTCTCTGCTACAATAGGTTGAGGCCTGGGCATGGAAAACCCATTTATCTCTACCAGAAATTAGGCTTATAATTGTAGGGATCATAACCATACTGTTATTTTCCTGTTATTACTGAATTAGGGAACTCAGGAAATGATTGGGACTGGTTTCATTTGACCTTTTAATATACAAAGTCAGGAGGAAAAAAACAGGTAATCCGGAATATGCATTCAGTGGGTTGTAGTAGGACTGACTTTTGGTGATCTACATATGCTGAATATTCTGGAAACAGCCTAATTTCTTCATTGTTTTTTTAGAAAAACAATTTTCAATAGGTTTTCTTTCTTTTGTGAGAGTGGGAGTAAGAGTCAGAGAGAGAAAGAGAGCCCAAGAAAGACAAACACTGCATGACCCCCCTCCCCCCAGCCTTCCCAGTCAGTCAGGATCACTAGTATGTATGCCTGAAGTTTATAGGGTAATGGAGGAACCAGGCCTTGGATCTTCCCAATGGATCCAGCATTGCTAGAGTAGCACGTTATTGCTACACTACCTAGCTGACTCTGATTCTCCTTAATAAAGGCAAATCGGGAAGTAAGTGTAGTTTAATTTATCTATGTTTACAGGCCTTCTCATATAAACGAAATCAGAAATTGGAAAAGAAAATCCTTTGTCTTATTATTGGGCTCAGAAAATTTAGTCACTGTTAGAGGTCGGGGTGTTCAAAGAGTTCTATGAGCATTTGCACAGAGTGAGAAACATGATTCACTCACATGCTCAGTTGGTTCCATGATTTTTAATTTGAAAACTTTATAAAAAGCAAATGTGCCAAAATGGATTTCAAAATGTATCAGTGAACCAGCGACATATATAAGGTTTAGATAAAGTTTGAAAACATCTGGTGGGAACAACTCTAAGTGGAAGATGGACCCAGGAATTACGTGTGTGAAGAGGGACAAGGCAGGTCTTCAGGCCACATAGGCCCAACTGGACAACAGTACTGCCCTGGGACAAGGTCAAGCCTAGTTACCCTTTGGAGATGAAGCTGGAACAGAGACCCAAATAGAGGTGAGTGACCTTTTACATGACAGTTAACACTCTCCAACTTGGATTGCTCTTTTAACACAGAGACTGAAAAGGCTTTATTTTGTGACCTTCCTTCCCCCACTCCTCCCTTGCCCCTGTCACCCTGACTTCCTCTCTGACAGCTGCTCAGCCCGGCCCATGCTGAGTACCTTCCTGCTTGTCAATGATGCCCAGTGTGCTGGCATCCCGGATGAACAGATGCCCGTTGTTAAAGATGCCAAACACGCCTGCGTCAACATGGGTGAAGTAGAAGAAATAGTTCAAATCATTGCTCCTCAGAGACTCCAGGACACTGAGGAGCTGGTAGGCAAGGTCAGCTGCCTGATCTGGGGGTGCACCGTAGAATTCCTGCAGAGGCCTGGTGCTGGTGCTGAGAAACAATCTGCCACAGGAGCCCAGGTACTTGGGTAGTGGCCATCCCTCGGCTCCAGGGAAGATCTGCCAGGACAGAAGGAAGAGGCATTAAAGGATTAGAGAGAAAAATCTCATGGAGACAGCACTCTCCCTCCTTCCCTCTCTCTGATTCTCACTGTAAACATAAAAAAATCAGCCTTACACAAGCATCTTCAGTCTCAAAACACATCAGCAAAGTGTCTCTCCACCCTTTTATACCTCTTGGAACATGCTGGTACCCCTGCCTCTCCCCCACCCCCCACTCTTTAAATCTGTTGTAGATGGAAAGATTTGCAAAAGGAGGCAGCCCTTGATTCTATGCAGTGGGCCATATTTCAAGAGAATTTCTCCAAGAGGGACACAAAATTTCTAATGGACTTCCTGTGATGTTCAATGTTATGGCATATTTCAAGAGAGTTTCTCCAAGTGGGACACAAAATTGCTAATGGACTTCCTGTGATGTTCAATGTTATCCAGAATTCAGGGGAATATGTTCATTTTAAGAGTTTTGTAGTTTAAAAAGCATGATTTTTCTTTGTGATTTCACAGATATCACTGTTAGGAAGAGGCTATGATAAAAATAATAGAGAGGCAACTTAAGACTGACCTAAGGAAACATATTAAAAAACGACAACAGTACAGGTATCTGGTTCGGGGATAGGACAACATTCATGTAGGTGACCCTTGGGTGACTCAAATATTGGGAACTGTTACACTGACCCTTGTTTCTCTCCTGCTAGCTCTGGGTGAATCTGCCTGCCTGGGGTACCTACATGTTCACAGATTCTCTCCAATTGACTGGAACCTTCCAGGCAGCCTAGCACTGGTCTAAGGAAGCACATAGCTTCAGCCTCTTTCCTTTGTCTCCTTGTAAAAGTGCCCAACTTGTAGGTTTGTGAGATGTAAAAGGGGAGAGAAAATTCTGACTGGACTCTTCTTAACCATTTATTGGTATAGCTATATCTAAAATGGGTTTTTATTTTCTTTTTTCTATTATTTATTAGTTTCTTCCGTGAGTGAAAGAGACGAGAGAGAGAGAGAGAGCGAGAGAGAGAGAACCCCCAAAAGGGTCTTTACACCACAATCCACTACAGTCTCAGCCAGTCCCAGATCATGGACACATGTATGCCTGGTTACTCAGGAAGGTCTCTGGACACAAACCTGGAACCTTCCCATGTGGATTAGGCCCACAGAGCATTGCGTTTTACTGCTATGCCACCCACCGGCCTCCTAGCGTGATATTTCTTTAAACTGAGGATGAAATAGAAATGAATACTCAACACTGTTTTACAGAAGGGATTTTTTTTCTAGTATATGCTGGGGAAGGAGGTCTTGGACCTACTGTCATTGTCAAAATATGTGACCAT